ATATATAACCAGAGCTATATGAATGGATCGCTTTAGATACACATTCAAACTCATCCCCAAAGATCAAAACAAACAAGCTTTTTCCTCTATGTCATTTTTACATGTGGAATTTTGGAATATGCCACATTGCTTCAGTTGCACATGCATTTTAGTCCTTTAACTGCTTTAGCTTGTGGATGTTTTGATTTAATATGTTACGACGTGTTTTCCAAAAAGACTAGAAAGTTTATTATACAAATGAAAAAAGTTATATTTTGCTTCTGGAATAACTGAGTTGTAATCTGATTCAATCTTTTGTCTTGAGAATGAATTTTATTATCCCATTAGTGAGTGAGTGCTTTCCCCCTCTGTGTTCTATGCTGTGTCGGGTGAGTTCAAATAAAGTAATATTTACAATAAACAGTATCTCTTCCTAACCTCTTCTGTCATCCTAAACACCAAGCTCTGTCCTCCTAAACACCAAGCTCTGTCCTAATACAGGGTTAGTCAAAATACTGTCGACAACTTTGACAGTTGATTACAAATTAATTACATGGGTTACTGTGACAAAAAAAAGGTTTCAAACGGAAGCATAAATATCAAAGTTTGTAACAGTTACCTTACAATCCGTCGCCATCTGTGGAGGAGAAAACAAAACTTTAGTAAAATAAGTGGCGTTTGCACTTGTCGACAACATTTTGACTAACCCTGTATAAATATTCACCTACTGCTTTCCACACTCAGGTAAACACTAGTAATGTTTTACGTACTGAAGCCCACTCTTCGTGTTTTGTGGATTGTGTGTAGTGTGAAAGCAAATGGTTACAGCAGCCTCGCCACACTGTAGCCTGATCTCAAGAGGCGAAGCTAGGCTATGTTTGGTCAGGTTTGCGATGGAGATCGACCTGTAAGGAGAATCAAGTTGCTTGCTACTTATCATAGTGTTAGTCAGCCGTTAGGTGGCGCTCTTTCCCCTTTAACAGATTTGCCTGCAGTCCGAGCACGATTGAGGTGCACTTTAAAATTAGATAAAATAAATGATTAATTTGTCAGATCCTATTGCACGTATTGAGAGCAGGGGTGTGAATCCTGGTGTCCTAACTATATTGCACTCCCTGAAGCATACACAATGTTCGTTTAATGCCACATGTGTTGTCTAAGTATTAAAGTCTTTAAGTCTTCTCCTCGTCATCTCTCTTATAGGTGCTTCACTTCTCGGAGTGCTTCAAGTGTTGCAGAGGAAATAATATCGAGGCTAGAAGCTTAGTTTGTGCGCAGGTTTATTTGGAATATCATTGAGTTTTTGGCAATTTTCAAATGAAAAAAACAGCACATCAAAAGAAAGCAAAATATTCGAAGAAATTGCAAGTTTTTGAACGTAATCTTCAGACACATCTTTAAACAAAGGTATTGTAAAAAGGTTTCTCATGTTAACGACTTATAAACCTGACTTACAAACCAAGTAAAAACAAAAAACAGGAACTTTTTACATAAGAATGAATCACAATTGGTGATAAAAAACAGTGCAATACTGACTGATCCTCACATTTACACATACTGTATGTATCCTCTTTTAAAACGTTTTTAAAACAGAGATAACGTTTGGTGATTATGATACACTCCAATGTATCGTAGATAATGTGCTGCATGTACAAGATACTCCTTGTTTTTTGAGCGTTTTCTGATTCTTTTTTTTTTCTAAATTAAGGTTTCTGATTAAACAAATGGACCAAAATACGTAAGTTTTTGCCAAAGATAAATGTCTCCACCTAGAGGCGACAACAGTAAGCTGTCCGTGTTACCCATTTAACACCAGAAAAAGAAGCAGAAATGTTGTGGGGGTTCGTGACTCTGATTAGCCGTAGATCAGCCGACGTCTAAGACTCGTTTGCTTAAATTACCTTTAGTGGGTTCCAGAAATAGTGATAATAAGGGTCAGTGAAAAATGTTTTTTATAGCGATTTTATGTTTCTCCTTCAGTGGTAACTGCTCATTTGTGTTTTAACATGAGAAGGGAATCTAAAGGAAAACTTGTCGTCATTTTTAGCAACGTGCTAAAATCATCCAGCATGATGAGCAGCTAAACGTGAAGAAGACCAGGCAGACTTTCTCATGGTGTCATTTAAGAACAAGCAGGCCTAATTTAAACGTTCAGAAAGTTTTTAGAGTACCAAAGCTAGTAAGCTCAATTACAATTTTATCTGAAATGATAAATATTAACAAAAAATTGATTTTACTAAATAATTGCCATATATTTGTCATTTCTACAGTCACTCTAGATTTAGGGAATTGGTGTCCAATTTGCAAAATTCAGTTTTCTTGCGAAGTTTCCTTGTATATTTTAAATTGCTTACTCATGGTCTAATTTAAACAAGAATAACAACTAAAACAAGATTAAAACAATATGGAATAGAATAAAAAATAATACACACCTGCCTGCATGTTTTTATGTATCAGACAACACAGAAGATGATAAAAACGTGCTCAAAAGGAACATTTGCTTCTAATACACTGGGAATATATCTTTTTTTACGTTTCACATAAAACATGTTTTGTTTTGCATGACAAAACATAAATAAGCAAAGTGTTCTTGAATATAAAAAGACTTGCATACATTCAGTATGTATAGCATAAAAAAGTTAAAAAACATCATTACAATTATACAAAACATCTTCAGTCTGTGCTGTAATAAAAACAAAATGGACAGAACATTTCTGAAAGCTGCAAGTGAAACTTCATTCATTAGTGCTTAATGCAATCAAGGTGAACCAGAATGCACCTTAATTAACTGCTTAATCCCCTCTGGTTATTACTGTCTACCTGCTAAAATACAGCCAAATACTTCATACAGGAAATCTCTTACTGTATGTGTCACTTTCAGCACACATGCAACATTCCCATGGCCCTCACCAGGATGAGCTAAGTGGATTAACGTGAATGCTGGGATGACTGGATGGAGGAATAAATGAATGGAGTGGATTTCCTTTAATTAAGTGCATTGCTCGTTGTGTTTTTCCACTTAGAATGACCACAGTACAAATTCATCACAAAGGGATTAAGAATGAAATAAAGAGGCATTTTATCAGTAACAGTTCATACTGTTATACAGGTTTCAATAGAAAATGTCAATTCTCATTATTTTGGATGCTTTAAAATACAGTTGCTACAGGTCACAAGGTATGAAATGGCCGTGTTCCTAAAATAATTACAATTATTTACTTAAATTAAAATTCCTAACGTTTTCTGAAAGGCAAAAAATCCTGATAAGATCAATTTAGATGTATTATTTCATGGTAACCCAGAAACATATCGTGGACAGCATCTTGGACGAGACACCAGTCCATCACACACAAGCAAAGAAAGACAATTTAGAAATAACATTTAACCTAACAAGCAGACCTCCAGAATGTGGCAGGAAAAAATGTGTTTTGCATAGTTTTCACTGTGCTTATCCTGCCATTTCTTTGTCTTTACCTTTGTTCTCTGGGGTTTGTATCATGCCTTGCCAATGGATTTCAAATCATTTGACAGTTATAGGTAATACCTTTTTTATGGTTTTTGGACCCATCTTCCAAAATACCCAGAGCAAACATTTGAAAATATTATAGAATGGATAGATGAAAACCCACTAAATGATCAAATGTGGAGATCACTTGTCTGTGAACCCGTCAACAAACATTTTAGCAGAACACAAGAAATTTCTGTTCTTTTGAGCGCTTACTGAGCACAAAAGCCGTAATTCCTTCCTACACATCAGTTCGTGACCAAAGAGTTCACATAGAGACTGAAAATAAAGCACCTTGGTGTGGTAGTGAATGCTGCTGTTTTCCTTGGTCCAGTTCCAGACTGATGTACCATCTTTGTGGTTTGTATGTTTTCCCCTTGATCTCATGGGCTTTCGTGGCATGTGCAAGTTACCTCTGACCTTCCAGAGACCTATGAGCTACTGTAGGTTAATCAGTATCTCTGAAGTGTCCGCATGTCTGTGTAGCCCCATCTTCTGCTCCTTTCGGATGAGCTTTTGGGAGGTTGCTGAGAACCTTAACAGGAATAGGTACAGTAGCTTTCTGATCGTGGATGGTTTGATGGTTTGAAAGGAAGTCATCAGCATTTACCCACGACAGCTACAACTGTTCAAACTGATTGGAAATAAATGAACTGTTTAGGTGAGGAGAGTAATAAGCAACTGCTTATTACTGTAAAAATAATGCTACAAAATACTGCAAAGAAGCATCCACTGTTTCTAATGATAAAGGAGGAATAGAATATGTCTGGATAATATCATTGGATATTTTAGTCAATTTAGTTCTGACAGGTTTTTTGAAGTTCCAAAGCTAAAGAAATTTTGCTCATTTAAATGGAATCCTTTAGGATTATGATGGGACATTTTAAAATGTATTGGATTGTTGCATCTTATTTTAATAATGCAGACTTAGAGATATGCCTTTTTAATCAATAACATCACTTCTATAATGAAAAATGGAAGCTAGAACAGATGTAATTTGGGATTGCAGTAGGCAACATTGCTTACTTTATGGGTAAATGTATATTCAGGCTCTGCAAACCCAGAATGTGGCTTGTATTGTGTACAGATGAATGTGTAACTTTTGGAAGTAGTAATTTGGGTCTGAATACCTTTAACTCCACACATTCTGTAGAACCACAATTCCCAGCAACCTGAAACAACCACCTGTCCACTCCAAAGCCTCACCTGACCATAAACAGAAGACTGCATTGCAGACATGACCTCATCTCTCTGGCTTTGCCCTTGGATTTGCTAGAAGCTTCTCTTGTCTAGACACTGAAGTGGATTGTATCACATCAGCACATAGCATCAGAGGTTAAAAAGCAGAAAAAGTCAATTAGATGTAATGAATGTAATACATAGCAACTGTTATTTTCTTTTAATTGATGTTTTAAAGTAAATAAGGAGTAAATAAAAAGAAATGTGTTAAAAAGGAGTATTTAGTTAAATAAAATCCAGAGGGTTATAAAACATTTTTGTCCCAGGTATGTAATATCTCTGTTTGGCTCTATATATGTAGACGTGCCTAAGTTAGATGCTCCCCAGAAATCAATAAAAAACAAATTCAGGCTTCATCTTTTGTTTTTTCTTAAGTTGTACAGTGAATTCAAGTGACATTGAAGGGCTTGTGATGTGATAAGTTCCATTCTACTCCATTCTGCATCTCTGCAGCCATGTCTGGTCGATTATTCCTTATTTCTGTTGTAACCTGTCATGGTTTTATCCAGCAAGTGTTTGGTGAACAGCAGTCAAGCTACACCTTCTGCAAATTCAGAATCAGTAACGGACTAATTATTATTTATTTCTATATAAAAATGCCACCAGGATGGTACTGTATTTAGCAGTACAGACCAGCTCACACTTTGAGGCATCAGCAACAGCTTCCATATTAAGGGTAAACCTAAACCAGTAACACCCATTAAGCCAGAATACTTCAGTGCTGCAAAACCCTTCTCCGCAGCCTTTGTGTTGTACAGCAGCAAAGCCCAGCACTGTGTATTAAACTGCTAAGTCGTCAACTCTCAATTTGTTGCTGGATCCACTGTTCTTGCTCAGCCTGCGCTTATCCTTACAAAAGCCGTTGTGCAAGTTAGGGGGGGCCGACGTGTTGGAGGAGTCACTTCCCTGCATGTAACTCATCTGGAGGAAGTCCTCACCATCCAGGTTGTCCCGGCTCTGGTGGCGCTCGGTGGCCAGGTTGACGGAGTTCTGCTGGTTGGCCATCTTGTTGTTGAAGGGGTTGCACCCCGTCTCGGGGGCCGTGACACACTGATTGAAATCTGGAGGGGGCGTGCAAGCCCTGGACGGCCCTGCTGGATTTTCGGGCTCCTTGGAGTCCAGCACAGGAGCGTGGGAGGCTGCATAAGCTCTCATGATCGCCTTGAGTTTCTTCCAGCCCAGGTGGTAGAGCTCTATCAAGCTGAGTAAGAGCGAGAGCGCGGCCACCGCCAGCATGAATACAATAAACACGTTCTTCTCCGTCGGCCTCGACATGTAGCAGTTGACCTTGTTGGGACAAGGCCAGTTTTCGCAGGTGTAGAGAGCCTTGAGGAGGACACCATATATGAGATACTGTCCCACAATGAAGGACACTTCCAGGACAGTTCTGATGAGGATGCTGAAGACGTACGTCTTCAGCAACGCCCCTTTCAGCTTGATCTTCCCCATCGCTTCCTCCCTGGTGGACACCTCCAGCTTTTCTTCTAGGTAGTCCTTCTGTCCGCTCGGGGCCTGGTCCTCCTGCTCCCTCTGTCTCTTCTTCTCCTCCATCCGGACGGTGTGCAAAGCGTGTCCCATGTAGATGAGGGAGGGGGTTGAAACAAATACAATCTGCAGCACCCAGTAGCGGATGTGCGAGATGGGGAAAGCTTTGTCATAACACACATTGGTGCAACCAGGCTGCAGAGTGTCGCACTCGAAGTCGGATTGCTCATCTCCCCACGAGGACTCAGCTGCCGTGCCCAGCACCAGGATTCGGAAGATGAAGAGAACAGTGAGCCAAACCTTTCCCACTGATGTCGAGTGTTCTTGTACTTCTTCAAGGATATTTCCCAGAAGACTCCAATCGCCCATCACTGCTTCCACCTACTTGAGATGGGACCTGCCATAGGTGGTAAGGAGAGAGAGGTAATTGTTATGTTTTCTGCTTGTGACAGAGGGGCTTCATTTCATATTTCATTCCATTATGGATAGATCTTAAGGCACAGTGCCTTGATAGCCGAGACCTGAAAAGAGTGCTGGAAGACCTATAAAGACTGCCTCATGTCTTGAAACCTAAAATCTGCTTTGTAGAACCCTCTTCAGGGTGCACGTGTTCGCCAGCAGTAAGCTTACTTTGGGTACAGAAAATAAGATGGTATTGACTTTCTCCATACCCTTGCCTACCACTGTCACAAACCATATTCCTACGAGCACCTCTCCCTGCCAACACCCGTGCACTAATTAATCAATTGTCATCCCTCACGCTCTTCCCTATTTACACCCTCTCACTCCACTCAGTGCCCCACTCCCTAGTGAGAATAACCCTTGGTTTTCTCTTGTGCACCTTAACTACTCTCGACCTGATTTCTGGCTCCCCGACCTTGTTTTCCACCTGCTTCGACTTCGTCTAGCCTCTCGTTTTGGATTTGGATACTCTCGAGCTGACTCTTGTGATACCCAACCTTGCTCTTCTACTTCGACTACGACTTTTGCCTTTGGGATTTGGACGCCAATCACAAGCTACCTACGGTCTCAGCGCAGCATAGGGTCCAACCAGGTGCTCCTAACGCCATGCATGACAACCACAGCACAAATAACTCGGTGTATTTAGTCAGATGTGACAAAAAGATTGCAAAGTATTTAGACATTTTATTAGTATAACTTTCTAGTAATGCCTATACTTGTAGGTCACTGATGTCAGAAAAATTTACCTGTTTTCTAGTTAAAATTCAGGACCCAAGCTCAAAAATACAACTAGGGTGATAGTAATGGACATTTCTCTATTCTTAAAAGAGACCTTGTAGACTGTCCTCAAAACCATAAATTCTGAATGTAAGGCGTTTAAGTTGCTGGGAATCACCTGCTTGATGTTCTGCTTTATAACAAAGACCTTACCTGGGAACATCATTCACATCCACTTGTCAGTTACCCACGTACCCCATGAACACAAGAGGTTAAAGAAAACATCAACAGCTAGTTTATAATATTCTATTTAAAAAAAAACTCAGGTTAGACAGACACACCCTTTATGCTTCTTTTTAATACCAGCTTCTCGTCTGGAGCTTCAAAATATAATCATCTACTGTGCTGACAGTGAAGATGGGTCACATGGTCTCCTTAGGGTTCTAACACTATTGTTTGTAACACTTTACTTATGTTTTTCTTCACTTCCTTTTCAACAATTACAGTCACCTTGGCGGTTATTGTCCATATCATTTATTCCCATTAATGGCAACTACTACATATTGCTTGAAGGAAATCAAAGGCAAAAATCTACTGCTTTGAAGCTATCAGTTCATTATTATTATATATATATCATGGAGTGTAATAATAATTTACAGCAGCACTGTAAATTCTTTCTATATATCAGCTGCTACATCTCTTACATGTTTCCGGAAAGCTTCCTCATCACAGGGAGTGGGAAAAGCTCAGCTGCAGCTCAACAGAGGAATTTTGACAGCATGTAAATAGCGATTTATAAATAGCGATTTCGCTATGTGAAAGCCTGAGAGAGCAACAGCATGGGCCCTCTGACAGCCAGCTTTCCCACAACACACTCAGCGAAGAGGAGGGGCTTGGGAAGAATCACATGTCCATCTTAAAACAATATACATATATTTACAGTGCAGTACTGTACATCTTTATAAATTTGGGTGGAGCATAACAAGGGTTATTTGTGGGTCTGAGAACTCCAACTTATTGTTTAAACTCTTTGCCTGTTATACTGTATATAGATGCCTGTGTGAATAAGTCATCAGCTGGTGGGTGCTGTGAGAGTATGGTTTAACCCATTTAAAACCCCCTATATTGATTGATTTCTATGGGACAGCACATTGGTACAGCAGTTAGCATTGCTTCCTCACAGTGTTTGGGCATGATTGTGTGAATGTCTGTGTTTCTGCCCTGTGATGGACTGATGTATCCTGTCCTGCTTCTGTTGCTTTCTGGGATAGGCTCTGTCTTCCCACATGATCTTAGATCCGTATATATGAATTTGTTGATTACATTTTGTATCTTATGTTTTGTGCATTTTGAAAAATATTTTTGTTTTATCAGATGATTCCTGCACACACTGAGGAGAAGGAATGAAGGTGTGATGTTGTGACATATACTTGAACACCGTGCGAAGTACACACAGACAGCTTTGTGACGACGTGCAGCACTGTTCACTCTGAATTGATCTTTTTGCAATTATACAATGAAAGAATGGGCAGACGATAAATGCTAATTTTCCTGAAATTCATTTTTCCTGAAATATGTGATACTGGCTCCAGCATAAATGTGTTTCAGAGTATTTTCTAAAAAAAGACCTAAAAGTCCTATTCAATTTAATAAGAAATTACCTATCCTGCAAAAAGCCTTGTGAATTAATTTATTTAAACGTAGAATAAAACATAATATTTAGCATGATCAATTAATTAATGCAAAATATGTGCACAATGTATAAATTAAATGACATTTAAAAAATATCAAATGCTACATGAAACATTTTAGATAATACTTTCAGATTCCTTAATGGGATTCAGATTCAGATTAATTAATGGGATTTTAATTAATCTCTCAGAGTCTTCTTGATTTTGGTTGTCCCTGTGATGACAGTGTTCTATTTTTTTAAGTAACTCATCTAAAATAAACCTAGGTGAGGAAGACTTCATAAGCATATATTATTGCAAATTACGATTTGGGGGAAATCCTGTCTAAGGAGAAGTAACTAAAACCAGGATCTCCAGTCTGGCACAATGAACTTTTCTGATGTGCCTACCCTCCGATAAAACAATCTTTTTTGGACAGGAACTGAGATGTCTTTAGCTCTTATTTGATTATATTTCTACACAGAAATTAGTTGCGTGGAAAGAGGTAAGACAGTAGACAGTAGAGTAGTGCAAAATCTATGGAATTTGAGCAAATGCTTTATCATCTCTTATAGTTCTTTAATTTGCCCTCTCTCTCTTATGTGAACTTTTACATTCTTTTTTGCGTTTGACATATTATTTAAGTTTTCTCTGAACAAAGACAAAAAAATTTTTTTTTGAGTAGAGGTTTTTTCCTTATTAAAATAATTCAGGTGTTGAAAAGCATCCATGATTCAGGGAAAAGTTTGACAATACTGTGAATGTCGAGCATGATTTGCTTTCAAAACTCATTTCTCAGTGATCTCTCTCAAGGCAAACTCTATACCTTTTGTATTTCAAGGTATGTCCTTTTTTTGATCTGTAAAAAAATAGTTGGCAGTAAATCCTTAAGTTACAGGGCCCCTAGCTTATGGAACAGTCTCCCACCCCATGTTTGGGATGCTGAGTCAATCTCAGTATTCAAATCCAGACTGAAGACCTATTACTTGAAAGCCTAGCCTACTCACATCTTACATCATAGCCTGCTGCAACCATGGCTGCTGGTGCTATTGTACATGTCATTGTGTGCCTCTGTGTTGGCACACCAGGTAGATACATCTGTTCTGACCAAACTGTCCTATTTTCCTCCCCACATGTCCAGATGGTGCCCGGGCTGGGCACCATCTGAGTTGGATGCTGCATCATTGCCATGGATCCAAGAGGGACATCGTGGATATAGCTATCGTTTAGGAGGATATTGCTGGTCTACAGAGATCTGCATGGAGTACTGACATACAGAAGACATGATGCATAGATTAATACCCTTATTCATTTATTCCTTTTTTAATTGTAGAATGTTAGCATGCCCAAAGGGGTTGACATTGGATCCCCAGAGGTTTTTTTTCGCCTTACTAAGGAGTTTTTGGTTCCTCTCCTCCGTTGTCTTCTGGTCTTTTCTGTTCTGTATTCACAACATGTACTGTATGGTCACTTGCTTTGTTAAGCCCCTTGGGGCAACCTTGTTGTGAAAGGTGCTATATAAAATAAATTTAATTTAATTAATTAGTTCTAATAAAAACACACATGAACAAATAGTAATAAAACAACAAAAAGTGTGTTATTGGTAATTTTACAATTAACAATTTTACTAATTGTACAATTTGTTGAACTTTGCAGTTCTCAGTAAATAAAGTATAGCATTTTTGGCTGACTGACTTGTCCTGACACCAGCTAAAGAAGATGGCGAACTGGATCATTTCTGACATCGTCCAGTGGCCCTTGAGCACACTTGGATGAAGTACAGTAGAGAAAGATAATGCTAACCTAAAACGTCACATAATGCCCAAATGTGTCCACATTGTGGCAAACTGTGTTATTGACATTTGAATCACTGAATATACCAGCAAGGGCTTTGAAATCAACACTGCAGCTAGATACAGTACAGACTAGAACAAAAAATGCACACATGGATACTTCTTTTTCTTCAGAACTGTTAGCATTTCAATCTGGCTTTAAGACCTAAGAGGTGTAAAAATGTGACATCTGTCTTTATTGTCAAAACACTTTTTCTGGACTGCCTCCCCAAGTTAACAATTCTAAGAACCAAAGACTTGAGGGGGACTAAGTGGAGAAACACATCTCAAGAGGAAAAGGTTGATAAAATGCATTTTGTACTGTATGTAAAATACAATCTAAAACTGAAGTGGTTAAACTGTGAAAAGGGTTTTGAAAGTATCCATTGAGCTGTGTAATTGTTCAGTCTTGTGCTTAAGGGATTGTTACACATATTAGTTAGCAGTTAATCAATTTAGTCACAAATAAAGTAAGAATAAAACAAGTATTTCTTACCAGATGCGATAGACACGATTGCCCTGTAATCCATGTATCATTAGATAGTGGCATTCAATATCCAACCTCTCTGAACTTGTTCTCTAAAAGGGATGTATAATGGGAAAGTCCAGCTTATCCCCATGGGAGACTGTATTTTTTTAAAAGGGGAGTAAGAGCACATGGGAAAAAAATTATACTAAAATTGAAGGAGGAGCAACATACAGTTTATGCAGCTTTTGCCATCAGTTCAAGGTTCCTCCTTTTGAACGTTAAATGTGTTTGCTAATAGTATGCTGCATACATGCATATCAAATGTATTTCAGAGCTTTAACAAGCAAATAAGCTTTGGGCTCAGATGGTTTCAAATTAGAATGCATTATTTCATTTCCACAGGTCCTTGAAAAACAAACTGCAAACTTAAACTTTGATTCAGCTTAAATTGGACTTTCATTTGTATTCGAGAGGCATGGCTGCTCCTCTTAGAGTTAGTAATAAAAGGGTTCACCTATACATATGACCTGAGTACAGAGTTATTTTTCATGCATACATTTTCTGAGCCTGTTTTTAATCCATTCTTTGGCTTTGTAACATCACCATTTCATTTCCCGTCTTTGCAGATTTTGTTTGAGAGTTTCAGTGGTTTTAGCCTATTGAAGTAGGGCATTTCTTTAACCTGGGAATATATCTCAGTGCTCTTCTCTGTGCTGGTTTCAGAGCAAGAATATACTGTATTTTGTACTTCGTGGTGACCAAAACTTTGTAAAACAATGCAAATCAAGTCGTACTAGTGCATTGCATAATTTTATCATAACATTTCCTGATTTAAATTCCATGCTTTACATTTTTATTACTTCCCTATATTGACAATAATTTGAAAAATGTTTCAATATAGATATCTCCTTTACATTTGTTTAAATTTCAACATGTGTTACCACCTAATATATTTTGAAAATGTTTCTGTTACTTCCTCTTAACCCTCTGCAATAGTCTACAATATCTATAATCTATCAGAGTTATTAATTATTCCTAAGTATTATTTAATTTTGTTTGTATCTTCTACAGTGTCTGCCATCTCTATTTTGGTATCATCTGCAAATTTGACTCGTTTACTAATTATTCCAGAATCTAGAATGATATAAATTGGGTAGAACATTGGTCCTGAAACCATGCTAGCTATCAACCAGAATCTTTTTTCCTTATAATCTCATAGTTTAGTTTTAATTATCATTTCCATTGCCTTACATGAAATAAAGTAAGATTCAAGTAATACATTTATTCCATGCTGAAAAGAGAAGACAGAAATCACAATGTTGTGTTTTTTTCTATTAAATCTATTACTTGTTCCTTTGCAGCCTACGCATGCTGACACAGCTACCCACCTGAACTACATAGTAAGATTAATTTGTTTGTATTTTTTGGTTCAGTTTGATCACCCTTCTTATAAATGGGAGCTACATAGGAATTTTCCAGTCAATGGAAAGGTGTCTCCATACTCCTAGACGACACTCCCTGAAACCTTCAACCTTCCACTCACAACCAGAAGTCTCACTGTGAGACTGAGTTTCTTACTCTTCCTCTATGAACCAGATGTCTCACTGCAGGTCTGTTTATTACTTTTCTTCTACTAATAAGACGTCTCACTGTGAGACTGAGGTTCTTACTCTTTCTTTACCAACAAGGTGTCACACCATGAGACTGAGTGTCTCACTGTCACAAGTGTCAAGTCCAACCCTGAGCAGAGAACCTCCATCTACTTTCTGAACCTTCATGCAGGGACATTGGCTTCCAGACAGGTGACACCAATCTCCTAATAACCTCATGGACATTTATATGATTCATTTTCTTTATGCCATCCTCTGGTGGCCTAGCTCATGTTACACACTCCAGATGGGGTTGCTCTATGACAATGCCTCAGACAGAAAATGAAATTCAGCTAGCCTGTGATTAAGACCATGGAGACTAGATTCTGGTTTTCTAAATCCCAGGTGACCATATCAACCCAGTTCTCCTTTATCTACCCAGAGGACTGTGCCGGGACAAGTGCTTGAATCTGACTACCTTCAGGTCAGGGACAGATGGAACTGTTAGGGCATTTGAGCTACTAGCAACCAAACAAGCAAGCTGGTCCAAAAGACTTCCTCTCATTTGCAACTTTATTATTAACTTTAAATTATTTTGTTAGAGCTTGTTGAAATACTGCTTATCTTGGAACTTCTGGTAGAGGTGTCTCTGTTTGGTCTTAATTTATAGTTTTGCGTTTTTATTGGAACAACACAAACTCAAGTCACTACAACTTCATGAACCTGCTCAGGATGCCTTAATAAAATATTCATCTTTCCGCTTCCTCTTCTTTCCATTGTGTAAGTGTTTAGCACACCTGAGATACTGCATGGAAAAGCAAAGACCCCAGCTTTGGAAACAAAGGGCTCTAGAACTGTTATGTTACTATGGGAGCTCAAAAAATAAAACCAAAATTCTTCACAGGATCAGAACTACAGAAAGAGGAGTGGAGTGTTGAGTCATTTTTGGTAACATTTCCCTGTATACAGTAAGTACGGCAAAAAATATCACATCAGGTATATGTTGGCTTTGATTTTCAAACATTCATTTCTATTACTTTCTGATAGGACTAGTACACCTTTACACCCTTCTTACTTTTTATTTGGATTTAATGGATATACTGTACTGTAATAAATTCCTATGCTTGTAAACTTATTTTCTCTGGAATATCTCATATTATCAGTCCTAGCAGATCACCTAAACGCTGCCTTCTGTCTGTCTTAGCATGGACAGTTGCCTAGTGTGGGAACAGAACCCTATGTTTTTTTATAGGGGAACAGGAAAATATCCATCTGTTCAAAGCTGAAAGGTTTATTTGGCGTCTTTCTTTTTTTCTGAAGGAAGCAATTTTAAACAATATGATTTCCTAGTGACCAAGCTCCAAAAAGGAAATCGCCCTCATAAGAGGGCCCAGTTGCACAAAACGTAAAAGGACAGGAAAAGTCAATGAGCAATAATTCAGACTTCCAATACAATGCACCTGACTGAATGCTGAATAGAACAGATTTCAATCAGATCTCCTTTAATTGTTTGTTCAGGGATAATAGCTGAGATAAGTCAGAAGAGAAAGACTGGAGCATGGTGGGAGACTGTGGGGAAAACAGAGACCGTGACCGAGAGTAAGAATATGTGATACTAGCACAGAAACCGGACACGCTTACACCAACCATGCATTTTAGAAAAAATATGTAACTGAAAAAGACTAAGCTAAACGATTAGTTCTATTCATGCTTTTGGATCTGATTAAAGACCTTCCTCGACTTTTTTTAAACATAAATTATGTTTTATGTTGCTTATGTTGCTTAGTTTTGAGTCAGTGTTTGTTAACTCTCATCCCCACAGGGAGAGAGGGGGGATCTAAAATTTACTTAAAGAGATTAATATTATTGTTTTAAGTTTCTTGGTGTTTGCGCATGTTTACAAAGTAATTCAAATTAAGTTGTTTGAAACCTGGTATTAAGTTACATCAAAATAATATAGCTCAAGTGATTTTATATTATAATAAGTTATTATCCAATCAATCAATCAATCAATCGTTACATCTTTATTTGTTATAGTACCGTTTCAACAAAATGCTACAGAATATTTTAAGCGCTAAATGGACAATAAGATCTTAATGGACAGCATTAGAGGTATAGTGCTATTTAATACATTGTTTAATGTCATACTAAGACCATTAATGCAAGTAACTTTGTGTCAAGAGTAAATAATACCTTGGTGGGCCATCAAACACAGATATCTTATTTACCTCTTATCTTATTTGTCTTCTTGTGATATAATTTTATGCAACAATCATAGTAGATAAAGATTTTTAGACTTTTAAGATTGGATTGTGAATTGAGAGAGACTGTGAATGTGTCCTTACATACCTGTACTCAGTTTACATAAAGACCCACCCCCTTACACAAATTAGGGCTGCACTGAGACATGTGAGGATACAGTACTTCCACACACATTACTGTAGAGTCAAGGGAGTGGAGATTCAACAGCCAGTGGCAACATATCAAGATTCCAGGTCTCTGGCCAACGCAGGGATCTTTGTGGCACAGCTAGCTGAGGATATCCTTGCCAGCTCCAGTCCACCCAATCCTTCCGGGGCTCATTTAGGAAATCCCAAATCCAGACTCACTCATACCCACAATATCCAGATGACAAGACCTGTCCCCGAAGCAGTTGGTTGGCTAGCTGAGCCATTTTTAAATTTTGAAACTAAGTTTCAGTTCAAGGCCCATTACTTGAAATAATAAAGCTTGAAGCAATATTTTTTGAGAAGCTTGTTTTGAATTAACAAAAAAGGGTTTGAGACAAACTTCTCACTGAAATTGACTGCCTTTCCACTAGAGGAAACCATTGTTTGTTTTTAATGTGTATTTATTTTATCTTGAGTGTGTTTTTTGTTGTTTTGTATGGTAATGGCAAAGACAAATGTCCACAATTTTGGATGGAAACTAAAGTTATATACCGCATATATAGAGAGACAATGTGCAGTTTGGTAAATACTTTACTTTGGTCATGACTGCAATACGATGCAGAAAATGTTTAAGAACATATAATTTCACGTATTCCTGATATAAAGAAAGTTTTTTTTGTAAAATTATTTAAAACGGGAGTTTTTTTAAGATGTAAAACACTACCAAGGAGAATGGAAGGCTACTCTCGAGACAGCACAAGGGAGTAAATGTGGTTTCATATCCAGTGTAGAATACTACTGTTCTATATTTACAAGATGTTGCACTAACACTGCTGTTGTACAATGCCCGTCTGTGAGAGTAGGTGCAAATTAAAGTCATTTTGGAAACAAGTGTCAGCCTATTTCACTAGTCATAAGAACAAATGCTAGCAAAGCAGATTTTGTCTCTTCATTCATTTGTTCCAAGAAGAATGTATTCTTAAAATACTTTGAGGAGGGTGAAACAAAATATTTTGTTTGACAACTTTAAGTATTGTGTCTGGGCTGCTTTTAGATGAATCCACATACAGTATCTCTGCATTACAGAGGTGTTACAAAGGGGACTGGATTGACAAAAATCAGAAGTCACAAATCCAGATCAGAGATCCACTTGTCAGGCAAGCTATTTTAGTATATTTCCAAAAATATGCCTGAATTTCCCTCAACCCAAAATTATTTTACCGAACCTCTGTCTTCTCAGCCTGCATAAGTGGAAGCATCAGCAGGGGGCATGATTGATTTAGAAATTCAGACTCAGCACAGAATCCTGAACTAAAAGATAATTCTGTGCGTTTAAAAGTAGCTTTACTCTGAGGGTTCACTTCAGCTCTCTTCGTGCTACAAATGTACGGTCAGCACTTTGATTCAGTGGCTACAGATCACCACTATTCAAAAAAACATTTCTCTCTTCTGAAACCTAAAAAATGGTAAACATTCTCACACTCCAGAGAGTTAGAATTCAGCACAAATGCCCAATTTGATTCATAAAATATTTGTATGTGCATTTTTCGGTAAAGTTAACTGTAAATTGTTAAATATTTACCTAAATTGGCAATAGTACATCATCATACTTCATTGTCCTGATTGTGAACATTCAGTGACGGAGGGCAAATACTGGCAAGGAGAAGTGACACATGCGGTATGCCACAGTGTATTCACAGAAAGATCTGAAGCAGTCAGGCGCATGGCAGGGGACTGCAGTGAGTGGGCAAGTGCTGTAGCTGTTCAATTTCCTGGGTCATGACTGGTCCCAAACGTTTGGAATGGCTAAAACTCAGGGCTGGACCTGGAGAACCCACTTTGTCAGCCCTTTGCTGGGTTTTCTCAGAAAACCTTGTACTGTATATGTATCCTCTGTGCTCCAGCTCTGCCAAATCTATGACAGCACCTCAACTACTTCCCTGTGAAGCTTTTAACAGGTCCCACTGTAAATATTTAGAAAGTTGACTCATTTTTTCCACCCATTTCACCAGCGTATCTCAGCACAGCAGCTGGTATTTACAGTGATGTTACATTAGTGGCCCTTCCTTATGGAAGGGAAGAGTTTTGAGCACAGTCCAATGAAGCCAAGCTGGACTGTGGTGAAGCAGATTAGGCCACAACATCCTGATACTACAACGGGCGGTGCAGTGGCTAAGGATCTGGGCCTGTGGCTAGAAGGTTGCCGGTTTGTATCCCACAGAAGGCAGAGGAATCCTACTCCACTGGGCCCCTGAGCAAGGCCCTTAACCCCAACTGCTCCAGGTGCGCTGTATAAATGGCAGACCCTGTGCTATGACCCCAAGCTTCTCTCCCTGTCTGTGTGTGTCATGGAGAGCAAGTTGGGGTCTGCGAAAAGTCAAATTCCTAATACAAGAAATTGTATATGGTCAATACAGATAAATATAAACTCCTTTCTTTTAGATATAATTGTCCAAACTGGCTGTCTATTGTGTGAAACCAATTGAAGCCCTTCTGTTCAGACGTATATGAAATCTGAAGAACAAAATCAATTATTCCTGTCTCTATAGGAAACAGACATCTTTCTAAAGAATATCTGAGCACTGTAACACAGCCATATCACAGATAGTTTTGTCATAGAAAAGTTTCAAATGTATCCTATATCAACTGTCTAGGGTTCTTCTGGGACCGTGGGAAGGAATGTCCAGGACATCTCTGACAATTTTGAGAGCCGTCAGTCCTCTTGTAATGAGTATGTGACTGGACGCAGCAGAAGTAACTGAGCACAGTTGGAATGAAAACAAACAGACACTCCAGGAGCCAGAACTCTGCCCCAGACTGTATTGAGAGCATGGCAATACGCTCTCTGCGCTACCTCTAAATGGCTGTGATTAATGAATGTGGTGTGTCCTTTAAGTGGTAAAAAAAATAAATAAGAAATCTTCTTACAAACGCATAACGGGAAATATTTTGATGGGAAAGGTTGCCTACCCAGAATAATTTTCAAGAGCTAGTGAATGTGCAAAGAGATAAGTAAAGTGTGCTGAGCCTGCAATAACAGTCCAGGAAGCTATAAAGACAGGTGGCTGTGTGGCATGTTTGCTTAGATGTTTCCTGTATTTGATATCAGACACTTTGCAGGAATGAAGGAGAATTGTGTTTGATCGAAAACCCTATGTTCCAAAGGTGTAGTTCAGTTTTGTCATTTATTCACTTAAGCACTGTTTTCTTAGCTTCAACCCTGTCAAATGGAAGGGCATGAATCAGACACCAGCAAACACAGCAAGACCATCAGAAGCCAAAAGCACTGCTAAAAGGGGATTTATAATGTGGTGAAGCTATAATGCAGTGAACCGCCTGGAAATGAGAAAAAATGTGAAAGTAAATGGGGATCATTTTGGTTTTAGCCCCAGTTTGTATGAAATGTGTTCTGTAAATTTACTAATTCATTAGAGCTTAAAACACAAACCTTCATGAATGCATGATCAGAGAAGTGCTTCATCTGCAAAGTTTTTCCAATTTAACAAATTTTACTGACCACTGAAGTCATTGAGGAAATATTTATTCAGACCCCTTAGGTCTCAAACCAATCTACCATTCTTTTTCTTGAAATTAATGTAATGATTAAGATTCCTATGTACAACCAGACATACTGTACATACATTATTACAACTCAATTATAAATGGGTATTTTTGTCATAACACAATGTATTAATACAGTAATATATCTAAATATTCACAATCTTACCAGAAAGCAATTTAAGATTTTGATTAGTTTTTAATATTTGATTTATATTATGATTTATGTTTAGCATAATTAATCCAGCCCCTTTTGACAAGAACAGAAATTAGTGCACTTTACAAAACAGAAAATGCCAACTCATTTTGGATTATACATTTCTCCTTGCAGGAACCTGCTTTGCACAAAATAGATGAATTATAATAAAACATAAATTCTTCAGATCAACTCACCTTGACTTTCAGCGCATAATCAGTCATTTTTAAAAGAAAAACATTTAGTTAATTGTTAAAATAGAACACTTGTATTAAATATTTAACTATCTCAACATATTTTGCCATTTTACATTTTGGTGAAATGTTGTTTGCCCACTACAGCAAAATCTCAAGAATCAGCTTTGGTGAAAAAAAGTGAATGAAATACAATTGTAAATATCCATTCAATCAGATTGGTAAAATTACACAAAGATGGCAGTTAATTCCTTTGTAACGCAGTTACAGAATTACTTAATTGAACAACAGCAAATTACTTAGATAAAGAGGTGGCAATCTGTGAATGATCCTTTAAGATTAGTATTTTACAAGTCCACTATTGTACTCCTGACAACAAAATGTCCAGCTAGCATACTGTGAGAAGTACTTTACATGTCTGCATCCACTGGGATTAAGGTGCTCCGTAATGCCAAAGCAGTTAGAGCCCATGTGACTTAAATGTCAAGGCGGGAGAAAATTCACCTGAGTGGCCCACAATTCACCTAGCAACTCTTACCTTTCTTCTTGCGGACAGCATGCAGGCATTCAGTATCAGTTTCTACGGGCAGTTCTTGCAGGACTATCAAGGCAACTGGCTTGCTTCTGTGTGTGTGAGCCACTTTAAGCTTTCATCGCCCTGAGCTATCTATAAAAAGCAGTCGTACGTACCAATGGACTTTGTTTAACTGTTTGTTACCTGATTGTCTGCAGCACACAGAAGTCTTGTCCTGCGGGAAAAGGCATGTGGGAGCTCCGTGGGAGAGTCTGAATAGACCCCTTCTGGAAAACCTTAGAGGCCAGGAGAGTCCTCTGGGCTGACAAACAGTGGCAGCTGTGAGCCGGCTACTTTTATTTAAAGGAGTGCTTACAGATTAGGATATAAATGTAATCTTACGCAGGGTGCATTGTAAGAAATGCCTGGCATTGCTTCAGCATTTCCTCTCAAGCACCCCTGCCTCCCAACCACCCACCCACCGCAGTCGCCCCTTCTTGGCTCCCTGGTCCTCTATTTTCATGAGAAGAATACATCTGCACCAGAAGGGAAGTGAGATTGTATTGAGAAAACAATGGGAATTCTGTCCGCTATGCCTCCGGCTCCCGTGTCTCAGCCCCCCCACTAACAAATGCAATCCACAACTCTTGCAGTCAAAGCTGAAGCTGAAGTTCGATCTGGCCATAAAGCTTTCCCATATTTTACCCCACTTTTTTTCCCCCAGCACGTGTGCATACAGTTTGTTTACAGCTCCTTATGGAGTTAATGTTGTGTAGTGTTGATCAATGCTCCATATACAGTACTCCATAGTGCCAATTTTGCATTCTCTGAGACATGTACAGTACTAAAAATCTAACCAGCCATAATGTCAACAGCTTTTACCACATGACCTGTGAGCCATTTGCCAGTACAACCAGCTACACCAAAGATTGCCATCTCTCATTTTTGTATCATGTGTGAAAGGTATGTGTAATGTATTGAAAAACAAGACAAACTAAGGCCTCCTCTTACAAGAGGGGGCCTTTTGGCCCATTTTGTTCATTTAGAAGTTAGTAGGTAATCGACCTGAGGATCCTATTCAGTCATTTTTTTAAAAAGAAGCCAGTTTATCGGCTTCAACAACATGGTTGGGTAGTTTGATCCACATGTCCACAGAGAGCATAATTTGGAATTTACTCAAAAAAGGAACTTAAGTTTTAGAATTAATAATATTGATGATAATAACTAAGCTCTGGCTCCTCTGTGATCCTGTACTTAGAAAATGGATGAATGGATGGATAATAATAACTGGGAGTATTTTTCTTGTCACTTTTACTGGATAATTTAGTGTAAAATAAGTCTTAATTTTTATTTTATTTTTTTAATGTATACAGATCTTTCCCTTGGTTGCTCTCAAGACTGGAAATAGTTCTAACCAGAGGACAGAGTGGGTATATCAGATAAATGATAGAGTAATCTTGTGTGTAAAAATTGTGATGTCCAATGCAGTGCTGTGCTGACAATGGCTTTGTCACACACCAGAACACACTGGTGAACAGAAGTGTGGCGAACACACTGGTGACCTGGGAGGAAAATAAATCACTGCTTTAGCTACAAACGTCACAGCCTGACTTTCTCCCTGTTTCTCCCAGGGCCATGTGTGATCCACTGAAGAGAGCTGAAGAAACGTCTACTGCTGTCAATAAGAACAGAAAATACAAACCACTCCAAAGTGATGTCAGTTTCCTCATGGTACATTCTCTGTCTGATATGAAATAATCCTGTGGATCTTATGAATGACCTGGCTGCAAAAAAACTAATGTTAATGCTTCTGTGAGACCTGTAACACACAATGGTCCGCAAGGGCACTCTGATCCACCATGCTACTCCCTCATGAGAGCATCTGATTGGACAGGGATTCATCTACCAGCATGACAACGGCCCCAAGTACACAACCAGTAGAGACAGAAGCAGCCCGGGACAGGAAGAGGCTGATGGGACAACCGCACACGCCACGGCCTTCACAAACTCTCTCTAACAACATCCACAAGGCTTTACGGGCAAGACCCCAGGGGCACAGAAGAGAAAGAGCAACCGGACAGCATGAATGAGCTGTGCTCCAGGATATTTGGAAACAATGTTTTACAGTCCTCCATTGAGGGGGCATGAAAACGAGATGTCAAGCTCTGAATAAAGCCAAGAGCTCACATACCAATCACTAGGGTTTAGAACAAACTATTCATTTTTTCGTTGCACGTGTTCTGTAAAAGTGAATAGTGCTATTTATATGTGCTTTTGGTTAATGAATTGATTGGCCATCCATGGTATCCCTCGTGGTTGAGGACGATTGTCTTCTGGGTATTCGAAGGTGACTGATAACACTGTTAAGGGCTTTTCATGTTCTCTGGCATGGTTGAGCAGATATTTGCTCTGTTCAAGTTCAAGTTTCAAGTTTATTGTCATTACACTCATATACATGGTATATGGTATAACGAAATGCTATTTAGCTAGCTCTCGGACATAAGTAGTACAAAGAGAAAAACAACAACAACAATACAATTGTGTAGCAAAAGAAAGACAGAGACAACAGGCAGTGTGCAAAAAACAACAACA